GGACACGTTTCTTTGTATACTTACTTTGGCATTTCTTACTAAAAAGTGTGTAATTATTATTCAAGAGGATTTTTTACTTAGGATAAGATGAGCGGATATTAAAATACTTTTACTCCCGGTTATGTTACACGCTCGATTAAAATATTCATTATAATTGTTACGTATTCTTTACAGATACGTGGATTTTGCTTTAAATTATTTATTACTCCTATATATAAGATATTTTAAAATCGGCGTCTCTCGAAGCGTTTTCATTACGTAAACGTGCAATTGTTCGAGTGCGAGATGTTGCGAGGAGCAGCGTTTCCAACGTTTAATGATTTTTTTATCGCTGCCTTAAAAGCCCCATGAGCACTTTCGCGTACGGAAGGTAGTTGAAGCGAAATACTATCTCCTGTGAAGGTGAGAAGAAGAAACGCAGGGGAGTGCGATTTTAATCCGCATCCTTAAAAGTGGATCTTAAAACGGCAGATATTGCGCGATGGCGTATATCCAATGGATTATTTACCAATTTAATCTAATTATCTCCTCACCGAGATTGTTTTCTAAATTATATTAATTTATTGATAATATCTGTTATCAATATTTTGATGAATTGTTTGAATGAGGAAATGACAAGCGTTTACATGTGAGCATATTAATACAAAGGTTAGATGAAGAATAATAGAGGATAGTAATTAAAGCAATTTGATTTATTATCATCGTCTCGGGTGGTCCTGGATGATTTTTACGCTATAAAAATTTAAATCCAACGAGATAAAATTGGTCTATTAATCATCGTTTAGTCTGGTTACGTAAAATTCACGAAATGATAGAAACCTGGATATTAAATAAATATTTCTGTGCGTCTGTGTATCGTATGTGATACCGAATCCACGTGTTTTATCGTACTCTAATGTATTCATAAAAGATTCTCGGTATTTTACGAGATAAACAATATTTTGTAATACTGACAGAGTACTTGTAAAAAGGTATATTACCAGAATTTTATAAATGTAAGTAATAAAACATGAATGTAAATCTGCGAGAAAACATATGTGCGCGTGCAGCAACTGCAGTGCGTTGTAGACTGTGCATTATAATGTACTCTTTTATACATACGGAAAGGATGCAATTGAATATTTAAAATAATCGATGTACAGTCCGTATGTAATACATAAAGTCTTAGTATTTCAGAAATTAAAAAAAAATCCATTATTTATTATCTTTTATTTTTTTAAATAAAACAAAATATGTTGAAAAAATTGTATTGAATTTCTGACATAATTTATTTTAAAACAGTTCTAGAAATAATTTTATATTATTGGAAGTTACTTGCTCAATTATATTATTTTGTAAAAAATTGAAAGAATCAAAAAATCACACGTCATTGAAGCAGAGAATGACGAGTATGGAAGCACGGATCTATATATCGGAATGTACCACGAGCTGGGGTATCGAGGTACCTCAGCTAATTTTATTAATATTATTATTAATAAAATTAATAAAATTATTAAAATTAAAAAAAAAATTATTAATAATAATTTTATTATAAAATTAATAAAATTATTTTATTTTGTTAGTATTTTATTTTTTATTAATTTTCGTGTACTACACTAATATACAGCATTTGTGCCTCTATACTCGTCTATCTTCTCTGATTGAAGTCTTTTTCTGTAAGAATACGAGAGTACTAATAATGGATAAGATTAATACTCTAAATTGTACATATAATGGTATAGATGTTACTGTTCGTGGATATGATATATGAATCAGAAAAGTTGAAGATGTGATTTCGGGAGATATAGAGCATTACAAGATTGAGAGTGGCGATTATTATAAATGAAACCGTGTTATAATCCTCCCTGCGGAAATGTGAAAATCCACTTAAGCTTGAGCACCCTTTTTTGGTAGATCATAATGTCTCTGTTATCTGAGATTACTATCCATATTTCCCGTGTTTCCCCAATCTCGTTTTATCTTGAGTTTTTGCGAATTGGCGATCATAAATGAGTTGCAAGATGAAAATCTTTACAAACGCGAATTAGGATTTAATCATAAGATTACATATAAAATGCCGTTTACGTAACATTAAGTTGTTGCAGTCGTTAATTAATTAAAAATTTAAAGTTCTAAATTAATTTAAAAGATATAGAGTTTCTTCTATTTAGATCTACTTGTCATTCAGATTACTTCGTTAATAACTCAAATTTTGAATGCAGTGAGAAATGCAGAATTTATTACAGTACAAGGAAATATCTACATATTTAAAAACGTTTTCAAAATACTTTTAAGCGTTAGAATAATGGAACGTGATTCGGCTATAAATAGATCATGGAGCAGAGTTAATAAATATTTACTATTTAAATGGCTAGATTGAGAAGATATAACGCGATCATATGTGCTTTGAAATTATAGAGCCTTGTGAGCACGAATCATTTATAGCACCTCTATATATTGCCAGAGCACAAATGTCATAATGTCACTATATATTTGACGTCATCTGTTATTTGATATCACAGTAATGCACTTATATGTTACTTGCAATATGCAATATTGAAATTAATTAATTAAATTTTCAAAGATACGTTTGTATTGAAACAAAGCTTATATTAAAATTATTAACACTGTGTCTTTATATACTTTTGTTTTTGAATTTTTATAATTTCAGTATTTGAGATTTTATAATTTTAAAATAAATTTTTTAAGAACGTGTTGCATACATAATGTTTTATATATTTATATCTAATGTGAAATCAATTGACATGTATTTTTACATTTTAAACAATTTAAATAAAAATTTTATATTGATACATTACTAGGTACTATTACTAATTTAAAATTAGGTCGGCAATTATCTAAGATAAATAAAAATGAAATAATTTGGTAATAACTTGTTTTAAGAGCGGTGGATGAAGATGTGTTTCAAACTTCGAAATCTTAACTTATTATATTAAAGCAGCTACAGTAGTTGAGAATTCCCGGGAAGTATTGTTTTATCTTGATACATTCAGCAGAGAACGCAACTACTTTGAAGAGCAGAGAATTCTGCGGGGGCAGCCGAGGGAAGAAGTTCGTAGGTTTTTCGTCCATAGTTTCCTCGTAGCTTTTGTTGCATTTATTTGCAATTGTTGGTCGATTTGTCGAGTTTCTAGTCGGTACGATCATATCGTTCTCTGCCGTTTCATTTCCGAATCAGTCCATTTCCGCATATCCGTGTTTTCTTTCTTGCTCCCATTTATTATTTGTTGAATATTTTTCCATTTTTTTAAAACTATTGTATATTTGTGTTACGTTTCACTACGCAATCTCAAATAATATCTTGCGATATTTATGCATTCATCCTTTTAATAATATATATTGCATATTGTTTTGTGCGTTTCTATATTAACATATGGAAGGAACTGTTAATACAATAAAATATCGATTTTCGTCTTTATTGATTAAAGTTCAAGTGACCTTTTATTTGCGTTTAGTTGACATTAATTAAGGAGTAAAACAAAAGCGTACAAAGTGAAAACAACGAAATAACAAGCTTCTACACACGTACGTAAGCATCGACATAGCGAAAAGGCATTACGCGTATATATAATTTGAAAGCAAAAACTCGTTCAAAAAATTTCGCGGAAAAATGCCGTGCCAAATTATTATCGACGGGAAAAGTGCAGAGCGCATTTACGCTAAAAACGTAAAAAAAGCGTACCGGGTGCTAACAGTCTCTTGCGATGAAGGAAAGCGTATATGCAGTATACATATGCACACCTACATATAAAGTGTCCGAGATAGCCCGCATATCCTTCAAGCATAGAATTCTTTGGATTAATTATCGCTGGACGAAAATGTGTTAAACTAAGCGTTTTCAGTTATAAGTAATAAAAGCTTTCACGTCAATCACGCTTTAGAAATATAAATATAAAAATACAATTTTATTCTCTTTTTGATTCAGAGTAAAAAAAAGTAAATCTTGCGCAAAATAATGGCTTATTTATTTACAAATATTAATATATTGTATTAATATATTTAATTTGTTAGTTTATTTAATTTTAAATGGCAGAAATTTGTATAAACTGATGTAATTGGAATTATTTTTGGTAAATCAAATTTTTGCGAAAGGATTGAAAATTAATTTGTGATAAAGAACGATAAAAAAACCTCCTATATAGGTACCTATCTGAAACACATGTTGGCATACATTCACAGTACACAAGTAAACTCGCGCATCCCCCTCGGTATTTTGTCGTTCACTGCACAAGACGTTTTCTATTTATTTATATAGGTATACCATATATAATCAAAAGGAAATGTTTTCTCAAGATATGCTCCAGTGGAAAGAAATAATAACGTAAACTGACTGAAATATATATACATTTTAGCTTTCTCGTTTAAAATATAAAAAAAAATGCAGAAAGCATTTTTTGATATAACCACAGAAATATTGCAATTACAAAATTGTAATTTTTCAAGGGAATTATTTTTGTACGATAATTCTCTTTCTAAAATATTTATTGAAATTTAATGGAGAGGCAAAATAAACAATAAATAAGCCATATATATGAGTAGCAGAGTTACGGTGTACATAATGCCAATATGAATGAAATATATACTGTATGAAAACTGAACGCGCAATCAGTTTTTCCCCAAAATATTCTATTTCAAGTTCTATTAAAAAAATCTAGAACGAGGTATCACTTCGACCGTAAACAATGGTTTAGGATCACCAACACGGCTATCGATCTTTTTTATACTAGGTGCACCGTGCACATATGTATCCGTCATTGTCGATTTTATCGTAGCACACCTTTTTCTCTAGTTTCAGAACGATTGTAGCACGCAATGCACAGACATATTACCGAGACTCTAATTTATTGTAGCGCAATGCGTGAATTTAAAGTCGCCTATAGCTATCGCGACTGTATACCTACTATTCTAACAATAAGATTGATTGATCACTCCGTTTTATGCAGACACGCTAGTACAACTAAATTTGCTAAAGTAATTTGCTAAATGTAAAACACATTAGAAAACGTATAATTTTCAATTTATTAATAAAACAAATTATTTTATGTCAAATAAAATTATTGCGCAATACAATATCTATCAATTCTTTTTAAGCAATTTCGAGATACGAGATACAATTGCACACAAATGTCTTGTCAAGATCTTAACAATAGGCACGAATTTTTAAGTTTTGTGTATAAAAAATGGTTGTTCGTTAATAAAAGTAAGTAGCCCTTTCGTAAAAATGCAACGAGAATCTGTATGTAGGTTTAACTGTGCGGTTTCTCTCTAAAAGGCAGAAAATTGAGTACGTAAAAGCACCGTTCATTCGTTTATCGGCCGTTTATAAACGAAAAAGTTCGGCACGGACTCATTAGTGGTTTAACTCTTTTATACCAGTCGCCGTTTGCTCCGCTCGGATGTATCCTTTACAAAATCACCGTTACGCGCGGAACCGTGATGAAAAGAACGACGAGGGGAAAAAAAAAGAGTAGGACTGGATATGCGGCACTGTGAAGCAATCGCGTCTGAAAATCAATATGCGTATAATTTTTTTTGCTCGTCCCAACGATGGGGAAACAATTCTCAAAGTGGCTTACTCTATTGCTGTAGTAAGTCATGCTCGATGGAATTGGTCAAAAGAATCCAGTTTTTAATTGAAATCATCTAAAAATATTTTCAATCAATCCATCTCTGCGAAATGAATAGCAATATAATATTGAGATAATGGAAGAGCAATATTGAAGATATATCATATGTAAAATTAATAGTTAATGAATTCTCAAAAAAAAAAAAAAAAAACTGTAATTGCAAGCTTTTGCAGATTACATTTCATTAAGAACATCGAGCAGTGGGTCTTTTCCTTTTGCTTACCTTGCGTATCTTATTTAGGATAATACTTTTAAGAAAAAGTTTCTGCATATTCTGATTGCCGTCCAGAAATTGCGAATCTGCTATAGATATGAACGTAGCAACGGGTAGAGACTTATCCCCAGAGAGAATTCGCTTTGTCCATTGTAAGTCGATCCTTCTGAAGACACCTGTGTACCAATTCGATATGGTCAACGCTTAAGTTACGCAGACGATATACGATATACATATATTAGAATTTATATGCATATAAAATCTATATATAGATAGTTGCAATATAAATTTATTATTATTATTTTTCACGGATAAGCAGATTGCAGAGATAAAAATTTCGGCAAAGCAATTTTCACATTTACAAATTCTTATCATATAAACGTACATATATGATATCTTTTATTTTGATATTATTTTCCTCTCATATAACAATTTCGATAATCTTATTTAATAGTCTTATTTAATATGTGTATATGGCGGATATTAACAAGTATATGATACATAAAAATTAATTATATAATCGCGAATTTTTATACAATATATAGTTTATTTATATTTTATCATAGTGTTTATTTCTATTGTTGTAATATTTATATGTATATGCTATAATAATATTTAGATTTTAAAATTAAAATATTTTATGAAGATTTTTCGACTGTTTGAATATTAAAAAAAAAGGGTTTTAAGAGTTATTTGACAACTCTGCAATTATTAAAATAAATAGACAAAGTAATTATTGAGTAATTAATTTAATTATTATAAGTTTCATTGTAAGTTGAGATAATGCTTTTGTTTATGTGAGATATTTTCTATGAAAACACATTTTGTTGAAAACACATCTCACATAGAAAGGAAAACGCCTGTGGGTTTTACAGACTGAGTATTCATATATTAGAGTGAATGGAGAAGTTTAAGGCTTTATCTATGTTTCTTGGTTAATGGTAAAATGAATAATGTACCAGTTTCGTAAGTGCATAAGGTGAGTTAACAGGAAAAGTCATTTATTTCGATTTGTGTTCGTATGCACCCTGAAAATGCTGTCCGATTTGCTGAGCTTTTCACAAATGGTACGTTGCCTCTAGTATTGCATAAGCAAATTTCATTTCGTTTTAGATGATAGGTCTCTGTTAAAATTTACTTTTTCGTATTTGAGAGAAGAAATTGCGTCCGTACTTAGTGAGAATTTTGTATGTACTACATAAAAAATATCTTGCAATTGTCGGTAAACATTTTTTAACGGTCTACTTTATTTAACGAAAATAAGACATATACGTATATTTATTGTTTTACATACACATATATAATAAATATTTTTCATTCTATAAAATTTTACATTATTCTCTTTGTAAATACCATAGAAAGTTTCTCTACAAAAAATAACGGCATTTCAAAATTAATTACTTTTTATAAACCTTTTTATTTCTCAAAATAGAGAAAATTTAAATTATTGCTATATTTAAATATTCTATTCATGAATTACGCGGAAAAACAGTGAACTAAAAATTTAACCTGAATAATGTGATTTAAATTAATTTTCTTTATAATAGTACCACACGGTGCCGTGATATTCTTCAATGCGCTAAATGCACAAATAAAATGTACTAACCTACTGATCATATATTAAACTTATATTACACGACAAAGATATATTTTTTATTTGGATTCTATATCCAATTGTTGCGAACCGAAAGATTTATTAGCAAAAAATTATGCGTGAAGCGTATGACTTATTTTCCAAAAGAATATTCTCTTCTAGCAGTCAAGCTTTGCTCACAGCGATCGATTCGATTTATGCACGCGACCGCCTGAGTAGGTGAAATGAGGTTTACGAACGACGCGAAAGTGCGTCCATATCACCTCCATTAACGCAATTGCTTGTGTGATTGCGCAACCCCCGAGCAAATTCATCTTCGAAACGAATGAAATTGATCGGGACCGCCGCCGCGCCGTTTCAGCCGTAATCGACGAAGCGGCCGCATCCCTCGTCGACTCCCCGCGAAGAGACGCCCGGCGCCAAGCTCGGCATCCACGTCGGGCTCACAAATTTTTGCACATACGTCACGCTGTAGCGGAATCCCGTGTCGGCGTCGCCCTTCACGCGACAGCTAATATCCGACGATCTTTTGTAGAGCGTCAAAGGCGGGCCGCCTTCTCCTCGCGGCGGATAAATAAGAATCTTCTCCAGATTCGCCCCGTCGTGACTGTGCCTCGGCTTTTCGAGCCTCAGGCGCGTGGGATCCGCTAAACGTTCCCTCTCGGCGAGTCGCGCTCCTCGGCCGGCCCTCCGGCCGCCGTGCTCGAATTGATTTTGCTCGTCGCTGTCGCGAGCGTTATATTCTCGCGCATTGGTCCTCGTTGCGTTGGACCTCGACGTTGGCTCGTGGAACACGTCTTGATTCACCGCCTTCACCCTCTCGCAGAAGGACTCGAGTTTCTTTACCGGATCCTCGTCCTGAGAGGTGGGCGATGAGCAGGAGCAGTAGCAGCAGCAGCAAACCGTCGTATCGGATGTCCTCCGCGATAAATCATCGTCGTTTCTTTCCGCGCTCTCGTCGTTTCCAATGCAAGCGCAAGAACCAACTGAACACGCCGCCGGTGAATCGTGGAAGGGCTCCTTGCATTCGCACGTGGATTCCGCCGCGTCGCGTCTTGATCCTGAAAAATCCCCCGGACACACTGATTTCTCCGAAGCTCTTATCGCGTAAGATAATTCCTTACCCGCAGGATATTTGTGTGCGGTAATCCTGTTTCGTAACGCCGCTCGCGTTTCCAGCGCTTCTTCTCTCCGGTCGCTCTTCAAATCGTTGCTCGATCTCCTACATTCCCGCGTCACTTCGCTCGTGCCGTCCGGGAAGGACGCGCGCGGTTTTGAATATTCCAAGTCGACCGCGCCCGCGCCGTCGTAAGCGTTTGTCCTCGCGTCATCGGGGACGTCGAATGCGCGATTATCAAACGTCGCATCCTCATTCCGCGAATCTTCTTCCGCTGACAAGTCGATCGCGGATTTCTCTCCGTCGTTATCTCGCGACTGTATTGATTTGGGCAACGTTCGGCGAAGTGTCGCCGCGTAATTGGCTCGTTTGCTCATTGCAACTGACCGCCGACGAGTGCTCTCGTATGCTGCCCGCGTGGGATCGTTCACGTTTTCCGGGCAACGGCAGTACCTCGAGCATTCCGCCGTCTCGTCCCGCTCGGCGTTCTCGCAGCAGCAGCCGAGCCGTTGCTTATCCTCGCGGGTGCGTACCACTTTGCACAGCTTCCCTGATTCCCTCAAGAGGCCGGGCCTGCGATAACACGACGACACTTGTCGTTCCCCTAAAACGTTTCCCGGTCCTCGTCGCCGTTGATCCGTGTTGTTCTTGCGCTTCGTCTCTCGCTGGTAAATGCTATCGATCGACGCCTCCATAATGGAGCTGGATGCTTTCAGCGGTGATTCTATTTCAGTCGTCTCCCATCGCGAAGTTCGGCCGCGCAATAACGAGCTCGCTTCAGGCGGCAGCCTCACCGTCAACCTGTTGGATCGCGAATTCAAATCCCAAGAAGTCGGTCGCCCGGATCTCCTTACAGGATGATAGCCTGAAGTATAACGTTCTTTGTAGCCTCCGTTCCGCTCCTTTGGAGCCTGATAAGAGAGAGAATTTTGGCGGGAGTAAATTGGCTGTTGATTCACAGAATCGCTGGCGTCCCTTCCTTCATTTAATTTTCTCATCCGTGCTTCTCCTCCTTGTTTAAGAACACAATAACAAGGCTCTCTTTCCGTCGTCTTCTCATCAGGCGCGACACTTGGGTAAATTTTCGTGTGAGTCGAGTCACCGCGTTTTCTTCTGCGCAGCGATTTAAACGTACGAATCTTCGTGGATTTCCCATCGGTGATTTTCGATTTGTTAATTCTGGAATCGCTTATAATGGCGCTCCGAGACCAATCTTTGGTGACTTCGAGGCTGGCCATTTCCGTAACCGTCGGCCACGCTTTGCGATCCCTTCTGGAATACCAACCGTAGAATGTCGGTGAAGATGCACGACACTTGTTGGAATTTCTTGACAAACTCGGATGCTGATAGATAGGTTTACTGGAAATGTCTAGGTGACTCTTAGAATTTTCTCGAACGGTAAGATCAAGATCGTCGGGGAAATGAAATTTTCGCGCCGAGCAGCAACGATTGCATTCCGTGGCGTTACGAACAGCGGATCGTTTCGGCTTCCTTTTCAAAGCCACATTTTTATTTTTTCTCGACGTTACTTTAGATTTGTTTTCTCTTAGTGATCTAAATCGTGTACCTGAACACCTAATTACGCTGCAGTCGCTGGACTTTCTCGTGCCGGCATAATCCTCGTCGCCGCTGCTCACCTCGAGGCGACAGTTCTGTTCGACGTCCCTGATATAATTCAGTATATCTTTCTTCTTCAGCCTCTCGAGATGTTTGGTCTTGCCGCACTTCTCGTAATTTTCGAACCACCGAACGTCCTCCCGATCGCCTTTATCGAGAGGATAATCTATTTTCCCATTTTTCGACATTATTTATGTTCAGCGCGTCACGTGTGAATCAGAATGTAACCTCGGTGTAGCGACGTACGTTTATAAATCTCTCGGACGAGGCGGCGAGCGATGCATCACGTTTCTTCGCATCGCGGTTCGGATGCACCTTGTTTATGGCATGTCAGTGCTGATGTTGGTCGCACGCAAAACCCGCGAGTCCGCGACAGCGTGTGGGCTATAGCCACACGAAAAAATTATCGACTAATATTTTCGATATCGATTCAATCGTGAATATGGTCACAGAGATATGATCAATGTCTTTCACAATTTTGAATATAAGTTTGATACATGTTCTATATATAAATACACGAGATTTTGAGAAGTGATAGAAAATAACAATATGCATAATAATAAATCTAATCTACATAATAATCGATTTAATCTGACCTAAATGGTTAGAAATGGTAAATTTAAATCTTAAAAGTTCGCGGGACTCACGCGATGTAAATAAAAAAAATATTTGCTTAAAAAGATATAAGATTTTTATTAATTTGACTTCAACTGATTGTATATTCGACTTTTATGACACTTATAGGAAATAGATATTTTATTTAAAAAAAAGTAGTATATTGATTTGCTATCAAAATTTCTGTGTTTATTTAAAATCCTAAATTATATGTTTCTTTTCTTTAGGACAATCTACAAACAATGAGTTCTTTGTTATTTCAACATGTCTCGCTTTAAAAGGCAGATGTGTTATTTCTGTATTACTTCACAAGTAAAATAATAAAAATATATGGCGAAAAAATATGTCTCTCTCTCTCTCTCTCTCTCTCTCTCTCTCTCTTTCTTGTAAATCTCTCTCTACTCGGATAATCGCGTGATAACGACATTTCTGAATCTAAATAATTTCGAGCTCCAAGAATGGAGTTACGTCAATGTTAATCTCATAATGTAATTTATTACGTCAATGTTAATCTCATAATGTAATTTCTTCTATTTTTTTTTTGAAAAACATAAATTTTTCTTTTGTTAAGGGAGAACATTAGAAAAATGTTGGATGCATTTTTAGCGGCTAAGAAGTCAACAAGGATAACCTAAGTGCAGCGTAGCAATTTTTATTAGCACGTATATGCATTATCATGCACCGCTTGTTTTAATAACACATTTCCGCTTTCATACAGTTTTTCTGGTTAGCAGAAGTAATTTGAAGTAATAAATAAGTAACGCACGAATGGAAATAAACGTCAGTCCTGTCGGCTGTATCTCGTATAACATTAGAAGTAATGCCGAGTTACTAATTTCCATTAACGCTCCTACGATATTTTATCTTTTATGTAGGATTTATTAATCGCTTCTATTAGTTTACGTTTTGCGCGCGCGCTAAATGTATCTCGTAGAAGTTTGATAAAACATTTTCGCACCTTGTCACTAAAAATATTAATCCAATTTAACGGATGATTGATTTACTTTTATTTAGCTGACGGATAATTTATTTACGTTGAGATATAGATATATTTGGATCTCCGTGTGTATATGCGCGTAAAGAAAGTTGCGAAACGAAAAACAAAAACAAAGGAAGCGCCCGAATTCTGGAGTAATTGCATAGACGCAACGTAAAATTTTACTTGCAATTTATTAGTTCATTAATTCTTAGTATCCAGTGGTTGAGATTATTTGTTATAGAGACGAAAGCATGGGCGACGATATTATCAAAGTATGCGCCGGAATGGTGATGCTGTATTACGCTTTCGAATATGCTCGCATGCATTAACCAAGATATGTCAAACTGATAGACGAGGATTTGAATAATTAATAGCAAAGCAAGTTTACATATTTCAATCTCTCTCTGTAGAATATTAATTCTTTATACTATATTTTATAATCCGTTTGTTTTTCCGTTAGTTTTTTAATTAAAATTACATAAATATCAGATACACGGAAACATACCGTATCGCTTCTTGGCATCTTCTAATTGGCTTGGTTTTTCCTAATTGGAAATATTTGACGTTGGAAATTTATAATTTGTGATGCGAAGTGAACAGAATTTTTTGTGTAAATTTAGTTTCTCATATGTTGCAAACGGATAATATAGTTTTATAACTGGCTAAAAAATCAGATGAAAAATATGTAAAACACAGTTTGAAATCCATATAATGAGAGCCGGTTCAGTCAAGTTGATCGTCGATATTGTTTAATTAAGCTGTGCTTTTTTTTTTAATCACGCGAGGACAAATTTTTGATATTAGCCACTAATATTAATTATATTTCTCAATTACATTTAACAAATTTTATTTTAAATATAATGTTTTACCAATATATTGGATTACAGATTTTCATATAATACAATCGCTCGTTTGCAGGCGGTATCGTTGGTTTTTAGCGCCCATTGGTTTATTCCTCGCAACGATGTTGTTTTATTACTGTGATAATTATTTCTGTGAAGAGAATGATGGAGCCGATAATTCAAGGAAACGATAATCTAATATTTTATGAATGAACATTTAAATTGTCGTATTATACATATGCGCCGTAAATATGTGATTGAATTGTTGTAATAAAGTTATTGCTGATGTTTCTACAAAAGTATCTGTTAGCATTATACAATATTTTCACAGTTTTTTAAATATCTGGAATTCTTTTTGATATTTTATTAGAAGAAATTACAAGAAACTGACAGGGCAAGGATTTAATACATTTATTTAATCTTCTTTATGCTTATTAAAACACACCAGTTATACATTCATAAAAATGCGTTTTCGCTTTAGAATGCTCGCTTTTCTCTTTTGTTGAGTATCCACTTCGGCACGATAACACGGTCTGCAATGATATAAGATTTAATTAAATTTCAAGTTGTATTGATCTGTTTGTTATCGCAAAAATGATTTTTAATAAATAAAATGAAATAATTTAAAAGTTATTAATTTAAAAATAAAAGTTGTGCATTTTTTAGAACAATTGTTATGTATTAACCGCAATTCCGTTCTCATATCGAGGGTGGTTTCTTGGAATCGCTCGATAACCGAACGCCAGAGTGCCACAGGACTGTTGTCGACGATGTCTTCTTTACACTCGTGTCCCATCCACGTTCCCATAGTGAGAATTACGATAACTATTACAATTCCTTGTAACACTAACAGCCACTGATTACCAAGCACATTCCTCCAGTATTCACTTGCTTTTGTCTGTTTATTATACATCGTATATTATCAAACAAGAGATATATTTGTATATTTATGTGTTATTTTTTAAATTTAATTGTACGGAGCGTTTTTAGTCTACGGAACGTATATTTTCTATTGTACAATCTGTGAAAAAGTTTTATTAAATTTATTTATATATAATCTTAAAAATAATCTTGAAAATTTAAAAATCGTAGTTACACTAAATAAACTAAAGACCAAATTTGCAAAACTACAATTTTATAAGTTAGTCCTGGTCGATATAAATTTTATTTAAGATCTTGATTCTCTTTGATATAAAAAATAAAAAGCTTTTATCAAGTTAGTAGTAATAAAAATTAATGTTTTAAAGAATATCTGTTAAAATTACGATACTCTCTGTATATATATATAGTTTTTCATTTTTCATCAAATTAATTTGCTATTAAAAAAATGTCCTATATCTTATATAGGATCTTTGCTACGTAGACCTTTCTTATGTCAACAATGCGATTATGGAAATACAAGCTAAGAAAAGGTTTGTTTAGTTTTCATTACAGTAAGCTCTCTCGACGAAAGGGCTACGTAAACTTTTTTTTTAAATTTTGGGAACGTGCTCTGAGCGTCATTGAACCCGAAAGTTTAAAAGCCTCTTATTGTACGCAGGAGTGCGCTGACATTTCGTAGAAATCGCAACACGGCGACGTTGTGTCGTAGAAATTCTATTTATTGAATTTCTCGGCTGCCTTTCAATTGCTCAGCTGCCGTTGAAACTTTTAAGCCCGTCAACACACTTTCACGCGACGTGGTGAGCCATTGCCCGCAAACTGCATGTAAAATTCGTTCTTTGCAACAACGGTGAGCTCTTCCTTTTTTCCCCGTTCGTCATGAAAATAAATATTCTGACGTGCAGCAACGGATTTCCGTCACACATATGTGTATCGGATATCCTTCAGGTAATGAATAGTATTATACATACAATAGCATATAAGTGAGAAGTATAGTATTTCAACGTTAATTATTAATTTATTTCAAATCTTAATGCAATAAGACTGATGAGATTCTTGAATTATTTGTCGGTGATAAAATGTTATGTTTAACATTTAATGGGTTTAATATTAAAAAATAAAGAATATGCATAATATGAAATATCAAAGATAGAGAATTTTAATATTTTTTTATTCTTATTTTTGTTAGAAATTCGTGACGAAACGTATTTGCATTAAAACGTTGTTTTTCATTAGAAAACAAACACGAAAGTCCGTCGATAAGTATAACTTAGAATAAGAAGTAACATCGATAATATTTCAATATTGAAAACTCTACAAAATGTTAAACGGAAAGTGATGAATTAATTAAAAATTGACTGAAAAAGATTGTTTCGATCGGATCTTGAAACCTAGATATTAGCCTTGTACTTTTCGCGAGAGTTTTTACGGCTATCAAAGTCTATATCGTTATTAAAGAGCTTCGTAGTTACAATAAAGCGATATATTAGAAAAGAAATTGCGAATAAATTGCTGCGAACGGAATAACCTTTAATTTACTCTTGTGAGAGTTTTCATTTCTCTGCACTTCCGGGGTATTTATACTTTTATTGCGGAAATCGCCACCCTTGGGATATACTCGTAACCTTAAAGCTTTTGAAGTACAACTATCCGATTTGTTGAACTCGGCAACACTGAAAAAGATAATCGGTGTTGCTTCCTTTCATTTACATATATGCAATAAATATTTAAAAAAACAGTTTTTTTATAGTCAAATAATGAGATTATACGTAATGTGTGAATTCGAGTAATTCTTGAATGTTTTCTTTTTGCCCTGTGAAATATATCAAAATGGCGAATGAGATACGAATTTTACCATACTGTTACAAAAAATTTGGCGAAAACAGAGAAATTAAACTATTACAAATATTCAATCCATACGCTATCGATTTATTTTTGCTATCGATACTGAGAAAGCTTCATAAAGTTAAATAAAATGTATTTTAAATTTAGTTTTGCATTGCAGTTATATTTTTATATATGAATTTTAGTTTGAACTCAATCAAATCGCTCAATCATAACACATGC